GTGCAAATGAAAGTTGGGACCCTTAGGCATGCTTGACTAAAAAATCCAGGTGGGGTATAGCACTGATTTTTTAAAAAAATTGGTCCAAAGTTGGGGTCCGACCCCCTACCCCACCCTAATTTTAAAAGTTAATAAAAAATTTCCTACGGCAATACTTTTTTCCACACTAGGTGCAAATGAAAGTTGGGACCCTTAGGCATGCTTGACTAAAAAATCCAGGTGGGGTATAGCACGGATTTTTTTAAAAATTGGTCCAAAGTTTGGGTCCGACCCCCTACTCCACCCTAACTTTAAAAGTTAATTAAAAGTTTCCTACGGCAATACTTTTTTCCACACTAAGTGCAAATGAAAGTTGGGACCCTTAGACATGCTTGACTAGAAAATCCAGGTGGGGTATAGCACGGATTTTTTTAAAAATTCGTCCAAATTTGGGTTCCGACCCCCTACCCCACCTTAATTTTAAAAGTTAATAAAAAATTTCCTACGGCAATACTTTTTTCCACACTAGGTGCAAATGAAAGTTGGGACCCTTAGGCATGCTGGACTAAAAAATCCAGGTGGGGTATAGCACGGATTTTTTTTAAAATTGGTCCAAAGTTGGGGTCCGACCCCCTACTCCACCCTTACTTTAAAAGTTAATTAAAAGTTTCCTACGGCAATACTTTTTTCCACACCAGGTGCATATGAAAGTTGGGACCCTTAGGCATGCTTGACTAAAAAATCCAGGTGGGGTATAGCACGAATTTTTTTAAAAATTGGTCCAAAGTTGGGGTCCGACCCCCTACCCCACCCTAACTTTAAAAGTTAATAAAAAATTTCCTACGGCAATACTTTTTTCCACACTAGGTGCAAATGAAAGTTGTGACCCTTAGACATGCTTGACTAAAAAATCCAGGTGGGGTATAGCACAGATTTTTTGGCAAATTAGTCCAAAGTTGGGGTCCGACCGCCTACCCCACCCTAACTTTAAAAGTTAATAAAATATTTCCTACGGCAATACTTTTTCCACACTAGGTGCAAATGAAAGTTGGGACCCTTAGGCATGCTTGACTAACAAATCCAGGTGGGGTATAGCACGGATTTTTTTTTAAATTGGTCCCAAGTTGGGGTCCGACCCCCTACTCCACCCTAACTTTAAAAGTTAATTAAAAGTTTCCTACGGCAATACTTTTTTCCACACTAGGTGCAAATGAAAGTTGGGACACTTAGGCATGCTTGACTAAAAAATCCAGGTGGGGTATAGCACGAATTTTTTTAAAAATTGGTCCAAAGTTGGGGTCCGACCCCCTACCCCACCCTTACTTTAAAAGTTAATAAAAAATTTCCTACGGCAATACTTTTTTCAACACTAGGTGCAAATGAAAGTTGGGACCCTTAGGCATGCTTGACTAAAAGATCCATGTGGGGTATAGCACGGATTTTTTTGCAAATTAGTCCAAAGTTGGGGTCCGACCCCCTACCCCACCCTAACTTTAAAAGTTAATAAAAAATTTCCTACGGCAATACTTTTTTCCACACTAGGTGCAAATGAAAGTTGGGACCCTTAGGCATGCTTGACTAAAAAATCCAGGTGGCGTATAGCACGGATTTTTTAAAAAAATGGTCCAAAGTTGGGGTCCGACCCCCTACCCCACCCTAACTTTAAAAGTTAATAAAAAAATTTCCTACGGCATTACTTTTTTCCACACTAGGCGCAAATGAAAGTCTGGACCCTTAGGCATGCTTGACTAAAAAATCCAGGTGGGGTGTAGCACGGATTTTTTTAAAATTGGTCCAAAGTTGGGGTCCGACCCCCTACCCCACCCTTACTTTAAAAGTTAATAAAAAATTTCCTACGGCAATACTTTTTTCCACATTAGGTGCAAATGAAAGTTGGGACCCTTAGGCATGCTTGACTAAAAAATCCAGGTGGGGTATAGCACGGATTGTTTTGAAAATTAGTCCAAAGTTGGGGTCCGACCCCCTACCCCACCCTTACCTTAAAAGTTAATAAAAAATTTCCTACGGCAATACTTTTTTCCACACTAGGTGCAAATGAAAGTTGGGACCCTTAGGCATGCTTGACTAAAATATCCAGGTGGGGTATAGCACGATATTTTTTAAAAATTGGTCCAAAGTTGGGGTCCGACCCCCTACCCCACCCTAACTTTAAAAGTTAATAAAAAATTTCCTACGGCAATACTTTTTTCCACACTAGGTGCAAATGAAAGTTGGAACCTTTAGGCATGCTTGGCTAAAAAATCAAGGTGGGGTATAGCACGGATTTTTTTAAAATATTGCCGGGTAATATAGCTAATTAGTAATATCCCTGCACACCATACTTTGATTACCAAAAATAAACACTGCGTGTCATAAAAACTGCGCGAAACCCGTTGTGATAGAGAATGATTCGCTAAAACAGATTTGGCTGACATGAAAATATTTAAGTACGAACGCAACTATGAATTCTTGTAGCGCAGAAATATTGTTACTTTTTTGGAACTATTTTATAGGATGCCGAGAATATGGAAAGCTATTTCACACAATATCGAACAAAAATTTTCTGATGGAAAAGTATGAAAATTTGGCCAATATTTAAATAATTTCATTTTGTCAGTGTTGACAGTTGAAGTCTTAAAGCGTGCAGCACGATGTTGAAAGCACATACTATTGTTTTTAAAATGTTGAACAGGAAATGAAATTTCAAAATTCATTGAATTATGTTTTCGACTGCTAAATTCAAGTTAAAACATGTATTGTTGTGGTTATATAAAACAAAAATGTTTTAGTACGTTGGAATCTTATGCAACTTTTGGGTTTATAGACATATCTAAAAACTGGCTGCTAGCGGAGTGGCTGCTAGCTTGAGTCTAGCTACATAGTTCAACCGTACTAGATTTCAATTGATATGAAATATATACCGTTTTGGTTGGGTTCGTGTTGCTCAGTCTTTAGTTCATGTTGTGTTTTCTGTACTGTTGTTTGTTTTGTTTGTTTTTTTTCTTTTTTCTTTTTTGGCCATGGCGTTGTCAATTAAATACTCAGTTTATTTTTGGCCTCTTTTGTATCTTCCGCCTCTCTTACACCAATTATAATTTTAAAAAAGACATTTGATTTGCTCCACAAAAAATAGAAATAGGTAGAATATATGTGAAAGACAGAAATCGTTGGCTTTCATTAGTTCTCTCCATCCATGAGTTTGTGATTTCTCAATAGTTGATTTAATGATCCTTTCAGAAGGGATATAGATTGTAAGTACTTAAGTTTGTGAAAATAAAACAATAGTTGTCTACACCTTTTGTGTCATGTTTAATTTAAAGTGACAGGCAGAAATATTTCATCCGAGTAAACACAGAGTTGCTAGAATAATGAACCTAACAAAATAAATCGGTGCCGAGGTGGATAATAATGTCGCAAATCGTTTATTTGTTGTTTTCTACATGTTTGTTTTATTTAGTCATGAAAGTAAGCCTAATTTTCTGCATCTCTTCATCTTTACAATATTCGGGTCTATAAATGCGAGATATTTAGCGCAATAAGGTTTTCCGACAAATACATTTTTTACTTGTAATCACATTCACGCGTTACAACAGGGTCTAGATGGGGTCCTCCTTTTTCTTTTTCTTTAAATTTTAGACTATTTTCTCTATTCTGATTTCGCTCATTTTTCTCTATCTTTTTTTAATTAGCACCCCATAATTCTCTATTCTATATCCCCCCTTTATTTCTATTCTTTATTTTTTTTATGATGCACTTTTTGAACACTACCCAGACCTACATACAAAATTACCAAATTTCCAACATAGAAAACTAAGCCTTGTTCCTTGATAAAAGCACGAAAACTGTTCTTTTTTTTACGGTTCAGCAGAGTTGAAGAACCATTTTCTACAATCATTATTTGTTCAGCATATGCAAGAACAGATAGCTAAGAATAAGAAAATTGCGTAACATCTTGTGAGTGTTCATGGTTGCAATAAACCAGGTCAATGTAAGAACTCGTGTATAAAATGCAAATAATTTGAGAATTAATTGATAAACTCAATATCGGAAAATGAAATTGACAACATATACCTTACATACATATTTTTATTGATCTATAATCTAATACTATAGTATAACATGATTGATATCAAATTGTTATAACATTTATGTTTTTAAAAGATCACACACACACACTCACATATTTTAAAGATCACACCCACACTCATATATTTTAAAGATCACACACACATTGCATTATTACAGTGGAGATATTTAGTAAAAATTGAAAATAACAATCATTTGACTTACCTGGCGAGTGTGGGATGGAACAGACAAGAAAGAGTGTTGAAAGTCCACCCTTGACGGATACCAAGGAGGGAAAATCAGCTATTAATATGTTAAAGAGTTTCAAGGGTCAATTTTCCTTTGAAGAAAAACGTAATATATATATAAAAGAATGAAATGTATATGTATGGTTTTCCAAGGACACAAATATCAAACGAAGACCAAAGGACGTTGTTGTAAGTCACTGTATATAGGGTGTGCCGTTTGCAACTGGCCTTTAACAATAAGGAAAAAATGTATAGAAATCCATAAAAGTCCCAGACTTGACAAAATGTAAAACAGTACACCTATTTATTGTTTTATCGTTAAATTCCTGGACAAAGGTGTATATTAGAACCCGAGATTCTAAAACAAAATGGTTTATTAATGCACCCCGATTCATTATACAAATGCAAGTCTCGATCTGAATTACATCAGCAATTAAAAATTGACCAGTGTCATACTCATATTTTGAGAATCTGCGTTCACAAAAAGTATTTTCAAACTTTTTTACCTAATACAATGTACTAAGTTTTATTTCTGAAACAAAATATAAAATTTCAACAAAAGTTTATATATGGAAATCAGCATATTTAGTTAATTTGTTACACAACAGTTTATCCAATCCCTACTCATCCTTTTGAAGTGGTTTGTGTTAAATAAATTATTGAACAGACAGACAGATGGACGAACCAAATAAAATGTATATATTTAATTCATACGACAGTCTCCTGATTTTCTATTTCGTCCTTTATAAACTGTGCAGCAGCAACTAAAATCTTTTTGTTCTTTGTTACTCTGACCTTCCCGTTAATTTTTTCTGACATGACATTATATACACCATCTACTCCTCCTCGTCTAAAAGCCAGTTTTAAATGCTGAATGTTAAGTCCGGATCTAGCCATTTCTTTAGTCATACCCTCTGAGATCGGTAGCACTTTCAGCGATTCATAGTTCTTATTGGACACTTCAACATTTATCAAAGCCTGATAAGCAAATTCAATAGAAAAACTATGGGGTTGTACACGAACAAGAGAAAATCCTGCCTTTCTGAATAGTTCCTGTAAAGCCAAGACATCTCCCAATGCGTTATGTGCATCGTAAGTGAAGTCTTCGCCGAGGAAATCCTTTACCAGTTCTTCCTGCTTGAGGTTTTTTCTCTCTGACTTTCTTTCGGGGTATGCAGCTCGAAACACATGTAATTTATCTACGAATCCGTTGCACTTGGCTTTGAAATCATTAATCAAGTTTTCATTCGTCAGAGCTTTAATGATAATTTTTGAATCAAAAGATTTAACGTTATGTCCAAACAACACAGCATTTTCTGGTAACCAAGTGATTAACTCTATCAAACATTCTTTTCTGTTTTGGTGTGGTACTGGTATACCATTCCTGTAATGTACATTCCCTATTCTTGTTAAACCTGTTACCTTTGACGCTCCTGTGGTTATAGGCTGTAAAGGCATAACGTATTGGCTGAATTTTTTCGTCCAAATACAGCAGCGATCTGTGTAATGTCACAAGATATGCCTGTAATAATAAAGGTTTATAGATATAGGAAGATGTGGTATAAGTGCCAATGAGACAACTCTCCATCCAAGTTACAATTTATAAAAGTAAACCATTATAGGTCAAGGTACGGCCTTCAACACGGATGCACATTTATTTTTTCATACCAACGATTTCGTTTATCTACATATAAACATACTAGTAATTGGAATCAGTCGGATATATACTTTTAACTGTTATCTATTAGTCTCGAACTTGGATTTTTAACTGACTTGTCTTTTGTTTATTTGTTTTTATGCAATGAATCAATCAGATTTGTTACAGTTTGTTCTTGTGTTTTGTGTTATGATGTAACGTTAAGGGGAGGGTTGGGTTCTCACAATAATTGACTCCCCTTTTCACCCCAGTTTTCAAGCAGAAAACTTGTTATATAGTAACCATATTTGTTCATATCTGTACTTAAAATAAGGCCGTTGGTTTTCTCATATTACCGTACGAAGTAACTTGAAACTATTTACATCCATGGTCTGTCCCCACATAAGTTTGTAGACACTAGTCTCATTGGCAATTATACTAAATCTCATTATTTCATTAATAAAGACAACTTGCGGCAGATAATTAAATTTAAAATAGTATTTTTTTGGTGTATTAATCTGAAATCTATGATATAGGGTCGGAGTGTTGGTGCATTATGTGCATAAAAGGCATTAGAATAAAACTGACCAAGCCCAGTGGTTTCCAAATCAAAGAAAACAGTCGCCGTATTGCCTAAGTGTAAATTAATGTCATCATTTTCGGCAGCTGGTGAAGGGATCTCTTCAACATCTGGACTCTCTTCCTCTATGCTTGAAATAGCCGACCTATAACTCTCGCCTTCTCTGATTTCCTTCGATCTAACGGATCTTACTCTGCTTCCTTTTTTGTCCCTCCGCTTTCTCTTAAATGCTGGGGTAGCAGCTTTTGCCTTTTCTCTCTTTCTCTTTCTACTCAAACGTTCCCGTTGTTGAGATGTAAATTTACCAGGAGATAGGCTGTGAGTTTTGTTGACCTGTTGTAAGATAAGAATATACTAGATAATAGATAATTTATGAATGAAGCCGAGTTATCAAGTCACAGAAAACAAGAATCAGGGACTAAGGCAAGATTTTGAGTGGCGTAATTCTAGAAAATCTAATAAATACCGCCGAGCGGAGCGAGTCGAAACAAGTTGTTGGAATATTTTATTTCAAAAAATGATATGAATCGCGAGAAATATGAAACTAAAAATATATATTATATATTTATTCTTTACTTGAACTACATTGTAATCTGTTATTAACAAAAAATCAGAATTCAGTGTATTGTATTGTATACCGAGACTGCTAGATAATTTTGAGTTATATTCAACATTATACATTTATAATTTTTGTTATTTCATACTGAACATAATGCATACCTCAACGACATAGTTTCGGCCCTCATTCTTTTGAGATATAGCTGAAGCCACTCGATATCCCAGCGATTGACTTCCACCGAAATGCTTCGACTTTGGGGCTTTTGTTGAAATGATATAGTTCAGTGATTCGTTGCTTTGGGAACTACCAAGTTTGGCCAATATATTAGTATTATCACTGTATTTTGAAAATACAGTTTGAATATCTTGTTGCAATTCTTCTCCTTTTAAATCCTTGCCATGTGGCAAACTTTTATGCCTGTACCCGATCGGATCTTTGATGTAACCACACCAACTGGAACACAGACTGTGGTCTCCAAATGCGTGTGGTACAATGGCATCAATGGTAGACTTTTAATTTTCAACATCCCCTTTATTTTGTTTAATTGCGTACAGCATGTCCTTTACAAAATAATCTATTACAGATGTAGATATGTTTCTTTTGTGTTTTTGGTGCAACTGTAGGAGATCTCCTGTAAAGTTTTTACGAAAATGGTTGGAATCACTGCGTTTAATGACATCATGCTCAACTTCTTGACGCAGCCTTGCCATTGTAGTGGTGTCATCGTCCATTGTCAATGAATTTACCATGTATCCCATTTCCTCTATGTCTTTAACCTGTAGAAAAGAATGTTGAATAATAAAACTAAAAACATCAGAACATCAGTTCCTACGAATACCTGAAAATTTAAAAATTGTTCATGACCAAACAAAAAATTCTAGTAGTATACGTTAGGTTTATAGAATTTGTTTCTATCGTATCTTTCACCTTGGCGATATGAGAACAACAGATACTTTTTTCACGATTAACTACAATTAGTGCCTAAACAATCATGTGTGTTGTTTTTTTGTCGGCTGGAATGATAACAAATAAGGACTAACCGTCATACCTCCGACAATTTTATAATAGGATCATTGATTTAAACTTTATTTCTGAGTGATATATACCCTGCGACGAAGATGACGATATCGATATCGATGATGTTACGACGATGAGTAAAAAGTATAAAATATTTAAATAGTTCCTACCATTTCAACAGCTAATGCTGGTTCCATTGCCTTCGAGCTTCCAAAATAATTTTGTCGGCAGTCATGTTCTTCTCTGGCATCACCCTTTTCATCGATATAATTGCACTTCCGGCAATCAGTGGATTTTAATCCAAAGTGTAGACACTTTCCAGACACGTTACCAATGACTGTAGCATGTCCTGGAATGAAATTATAGCTATGTAGTTCCATATTAAATGTAAAAAGTCTATTTATAAGGATTATTGTTGTCACACTGTATGGAATGAATACATATTATTTTTGGTTCAGAAGACAGGGGCGGATCCAGCCATTTTTAAAAGGGGTGGTTCCCAACCCAGGATAAAAGGGGGGGGGGGGGGGGGGGGGGGGTTCCAACTTTATGTCCCCATTCAAATGCATTGATCGTCAAAAAAAGGGGGGTCCAACCCCCGTAACCCCCCTCTGGATCCGCCACTTGAAGAAATGTGTTTTGATTAATATATTTCTCATCGCTTTACTAACCGTCATAGGTTTGGGTGTCGGAAAATAAGTTGCTTACAATCATAATATTTGTTTTACAAATGCAACTGCACGGAAGAATAGTTTCAAAAAAATTTGTATGAATGCGATAGTTGTAGTGTTTTATTTAAAAAATACTATTATCAGCACTCTGATCATTATTTACTTGTGTTAGACAGTTGTGTAAGCATGGTTAGTGTCAAATCGTGCAAGACAGTGGTTAGAGCTGGGACTATTATACTAATAATAGTATAATAGTCCCAGGTTAAGAGAGAGAGACCATGTATGAGAAACAGCAGACAAATTTCATCCTTTAAAACATATAGATTACCAGTTGTGCTGTTATAGCTTCTTCCACTGCCTCTCTTTTTCCAACCTCCATCAAAAGAAACATCCAGGGATTTGTTCAATTGGGTATCTTCTTCATTCGTTCTGTCATTTCTGAAAAAAAAAATCAACAGAGGGTGTGATTTTTCGTGTCATTTGCTAAATAAACGTCAAATAAAACATCGTCATGAAATATTTGCCACTGGACGTTAAGCAACCAACAATCAATCAAATGTTTAATACATGCACCATACGACCTTTTGGTCACCAGTCTTACTTTAGAATTAGAATAATCTAGGTTTCTACCAAATATTAACTGTAAGATGTATTTATGTAACACACATTATTTCTGGTAGAGCTGTGATAAATATGGGGGTTCGACTCGTTGGTCTTGCGTTAATAATCTTCCTTAGAATAACGCATGTTGTAATTTCAATCCCCGGCTTGTTCAAATCAATATAAAAAAAAGATGTGGTATGATTCCCAATAAGACAACTCTTCACAAGAGACCAAATGACACAGAAATTAACATCTATAGGACTGGTCACACAACGGCCTTCGAGAATGAGCAATGAAACTTACCGTGTTTGAAGGCCTGATAAAAAGACACATACAATTTCCGGTGCGTGTTTGTATCTGTTTTGGCGTTTATTGCATAGCTATATCACTGGGGTGTTGTTTTCTTAACTTGAGAACAATAGTATAGGGCTAATTAGAACAACGGGCTATATTATAGTTACCTGTTCATTAGATATTCCTCCTCTAGAGCCTTCTTGCAAGATGTACGTGCATATTCTTCTATTGTTTTCCCAATCTCTCTCTCCCTTGATTTGAGATTATTTGGACTGATGCATGGTACGTTTAAAGCTGTTACAAAATTAACAGTTTGAACGGGTCCCATACCTGCATCGAGATAAGCTAAAAAGAAAGGAAAAATTAAAAATCGTGATTTCTCTGCATCGTTTGTGTGTTATATGAAACTAAAAGAAGCAAGACAAAAGACAAGATACATTTGTATCATTTAAACCGTCATTTTTTTTGTCAAAATATGCCGTATCCTTCTGTGTGTGAATTGACTTCACTGTGCACTAGGTTTGATCATAGTTAACCATATGAGGTGAGAGCGAAGCTCGAATCCCCATATGGAAATAACTGACCCCCTGTATATCGTATTAGGTCACTAGCACACTATGTAACGAATTTATCTTACCGACTATCTTAACATGTGGTATTTAGACTAGTGGCCTAGAACACCTCTTCAATATCGTTTGTATTAAGAACCAGTTCAACCTACTTCCATTGGTCTATACAAAAACAAATGCCAACAATAACAACTTGTTAGATTTAAATGTGTTTTATTACAGATCAAATTTATTCTATCGTTGTGTGTTAATTTGTGTTAGAGTACTACGTTTTTTGATTGAGTTAAGCCTTTCAATTGATATTTTATAGTGTGTCTTTCTATGTTGTGATGTTATACTATTGTTTCAGAAAAGGGAGAAGGTTTGGTACCATTAAAACGTTTAATCCCGCTGCAATTGTTTGCACCTGTCCTAGGTCAGGAATATGATGTTCAGTGGTTGTCGTCTGTTTATGTGGTTCATTAGTGTTTCTCGTTTCTCGTTTTTATATAGATTAGACCGTTGGTTTTCCCGTTTGAATGGTTTTACA